CAGCGCCGGCAGCCCAACCCTCGAATTACAGCCCAAACCCTCCACCTCCAGCAGCGGCAGCCCTACCCGTCCACCTCCAGCGCCGGCAGCCCCACCCCTTCACCTCCCTTGCCGGCAGTCCTGTTAAGCCCAAACAGGTACTCAACTTAATTTCCCTCTCCTTGGTCTTTGCCGATTATTTCAATTTTATTGGTGTTTTTAAACTGTGTGTTAATGTAGTTGTGGATTTGATAATAGTATGTTTGTGTGATTTCAAATTTCCATAATGTAGTTTCATTGATTAACTTCTATTATTTGAACTTGATATAAGATTATTGTCTATTAAATTTGGTTGATTGTAAAATTGCCTTTGTGAATTATATGGCACGGATGGTTAAGTTCTGTTATTTAAACTTCATATAACATTATTGTATGTGAAACAGGTCTACTTGTGATTTTTGCTAGCTTGCTTTGAATGATATGCCATAGACGATTAACTTCTGTTTATTGAACTTCATATACGATTATTGTCTGTGTAGATATTTAACTTGTGTTAATTGAACTTCATTTCAGACAATGTCTTTGTTAATCCCTGTAAGTGCTCATTTTGGAGCTCAGTACTCAGTTTGTTCTGACATCCGTGAAGCCATCAAAAACATTGAGAAGAAATTGAGTCCGGGCCAATTGCAACAATTTCGCAAGACTCCAATTGGCCACTTCATGGGGCTTAAGAACCTCCAATTTAAGCAATGATGTAAGTAAGCTTTATTGGTTAAATTAATTTCTGTATCATGATAATTTTTGGAAAATCATACCCCCCCTATTTATTTTAATACTATTTTCCCTTGCAGGTATGGCAATTGTGGAGTGATGGTGCTTGCATATCTAGAGTATTTGTTGGTTGGCTTACCATTAAGACCAGACTGCAGTTCTGAACACATGCCTGATTTCCGATGTCAATTTGCAGCTAGGTTATGGCGTGGAAGGAAAACTACCAATATTTAGCTTTTTTAATTACAATTGTAGGGATATTACATTTTTGTACTTTGTAATGTATTTTTTGGGGAAACACTTGTTAATGAACAATCTGTTACTGTGTGTTATGAATGAATTACCTTAGTTTATGACTGAATTACATATTTACTTTCAGATCCTTCACAGAGAATAACTGTCTATTTTAACTGTTACACAGAGCTTCAACGTATGTGACAGATTTCCATATTGTGTACATTCTGTTACACAGAGCTTTTATCATCATGAATTTCTACTTGATAATGTACATTCTGTTACTGTGTGTGATGAATGACACACCTTAGTTTATGACTGAATTACAGATTTACTTTCAGATCCCTCCCAGAGATTAACTGTCTATTTTACCCATTACACAGAGCTTTAATGTATGTGACGACAGAGTTACTTAACGTTATGCACATACACCATCTTCAGAATCTCATCACATATGTGGGGTCTTGTATAGCTAAAAACAAAGTTAAAACTCATATATTAGATTTCTTGGTGCTCACATGGAATAACTGTCTATGTCACAGACTTCATAGAGACTTAATGTATGTGAAGATAAAGTTACATCAGGTTTACATCAGTTTATGTGCATGGAACTCAGAGAAAGTTATAATATTTGTTACATACTTTACACAAAAAGCAAAAAGCAAAAAGCTATGTGATTTGGCTTTGCGATTTGTCCTAGTCCGCATTGGAAACCTACACTTCGAGCATAAGCCAGATAGTGTTCTCAGATTTTTTCAATGCTTGTAAACTTCATCCCCACTTTAGGACATCATTGTTAATGTCATCTGTGTTCTGTCCAATCTCACCACTCGTCTGTTCTTACCTTTCGTCGTTAACTAAATACTGAAAGCAAGGATCGTTAAGAAACAAACCTGGTTCAAAAGGTGCAAAAAACATTACCTTTAATATAATACAATGCCTGACTATGAAGAAAACAAATATACACCAAATGCAGAGTCATACAGATTATTACCATCTGTGACAAGGATAAACCCTAGGTTCACAGAACTTTAATCTCTGTAACACCAAAACAAAACAATTTTTTCCACTACTTCAAATGAATATACAATGGGATCTAAATATCAACACTTACAACTGGGCTGCAACTCATATAAAACCAGGTCTTCTTCTTCACCACCAAAATCATGTGGTTGATCATTCTCAACATGTGTAACAATACATGTTTGTAAATCCATAATCACCAAATACCCTATGTACTCCACAAAAATTCAAAAAATGTATAACACAAAAATTGTAACAATTCAAGAAAAGCAGTAAAAGTGATAAGAACACGGAGAAGGGTTGGTCAGGGAAGGCCGGTGACGGAGCAAGGGTGGGGTGGTGGGGAAGCAGTGGATTGAGGGGGGTACCTGAGGGTGGGTGCGGCGGTGGTGGTGGNCATACAGATTATTACCATCTGTGACAAGGATAAACCCTAGGTTCACAGAACTTTAATCTCTGTAACACCAAAACAAAACAATTTTTTCCACTACTTCAAATGAATATACAATGGGATCTAAATATCAACACTTACAACTGGGCTGCAACTCATATAAAACCAGGTCTTCTTCTTCACCACCAAAATCATGTGGTTGATCATTCTCAACATGTGTAACAATACATGTTTGTAAATCCATAATCACCAAATACCCTATGTACTCCACAAAAATTCAAAAAATGTATAACACAAAAATTGTAACAATTCAAGAAAAGCAGTAAAAGTGATAAGAACACGGAGAAGGGTTGGTCAGGGAAGGCCGGTGACGGAGCAAGGGTGGGGTGGTGGGGAAGCAGTGGATTGAGGGGGGTACCTGAGGGTGGGTGCGGCGGTGGTGGTGGCTGGTCGGCCGCGAAGGAAGAGGCTGGGTCGCCACTCCAATTTGCAATTTGTGTGTCCGATCGATGAAGAATCGATCTGATATGCAATTTGCAATTTTCAATTTATGGATATCTGAATTTGATATGAAGAGGAAGATAACAAAAAAAAAGATAGAACGCAGAAGGGAGAGGAGGTCGTGCGCGGCTGACTGGCGTAGAAGAGCAGAGCCGGAGGGAGGAAAGAAAAAAAAAAGAAAAAGTAAAAAAACATCTTAAATATGGAGGCAGCAATGGAGGCAGGAGTGAGTGCACTGTAGCACGGTCCGTTGTAAATAGGAGGATACAATGAACTTTTAATTGATAGTTACACGACATAATAAACAAATACCAAATTGAGAATACACAAACTACTCTAAAGGTAATACTCCCAACTATCCGCTCAAGCACTAAGAGTAGACCATTCTTCGAGTGAATTTTGGACAAAAGGCTTCAAGTACTCATTTAATTGATGGGTCAGGTAAATCGGGCCCAAAGCTGAGCACAACCTGAATCTATAAACTTATACGGAATAATTTTTACCTAGATCATTATTTTTTCAAGACAATAAAGAGACCATTATTGTTATTAGAGTAAATTTTATATTTGATCCTTGATAATAAGTGGTTTTTGAAAATATTACCCCGTAATATTTTGGTCTTCTATCATATTGGTATTAATTTGAGAGGTTTAATTTGACATCGATTAGGGTTGTAAACGGATAATATCCACCACGAAGATGACGTTTCTGAATTAGATTATGTTTTGAGATATCTGTATCTGACGGATATTTACATTTCTATATCAGAATCTGTAACCGATAGATAATTTTTTATTTCGGATATATCCAAATTTGATTACATATCCGAAATTGATCAAGTATCTGAATCCGACCGAATATCATTGTGTTCAAACCGAAAAACAAAAATGTAAGATGGGGTTAGAGGAATTCGAACCAAAGAAATTTGATCATCAAATTTAAAGTTGTAGCCATCTAGGCTAAAACAAATGTTTGGTATTTGTAAAATGTAAGTAAGTAGTATATAATATGGAGCGTGCTACGTGTACTCCAAAATTTGTACTTCATTTGCAAACAAAGTGTTGGTGCATTAATAAATATTTACACTGACACAAAGTATTGGTGCATTAACAAAAATTAGCATTGTACCAACACAAAATGCTGGTACATTTCCACGGTGTACAAAATGGGGTACAAATCCTTGGGGTATAAATAGCTTTATCCATATAATATATATTTGTTTCTTAATACATGTTGTGTTCTAATTTTTTTAAAAAAATAATTTACATCTAACTCTAGATCCATCTCTGTTTATGTCTAGTGACATATTTTGATGTCAGTTAGAAGAACAAATCAACAAAAATTACTATGACTTTAAAATATAATTTCAACGAAAAAACACATCATCAGAGTTAAAGTTACACCGTTTAATTTTTAAAGCTTTGAGCAAAAGTCAATTTTGTTTGATCATAAGAAGTTAAAATTAAATAAATGTTCTCAAGAGAAAGGTATATAGGCTCTCTTCTAAAATGAAAGGGCGAGAAGAAGGCCCAATGAGCCATTCATTCAAGACAAATAGGGCCGACCCATACAAGCCCAAGCCCAACAAGTGAGCTTGGAATTCTCGACCCGTCATCGTCATAAGAAAAATCGGATTCCCATAAATTCCATCCATTGAAATTAGGGGTGGGCAAAAAAGCCGAACTAGCATGGTACCATACCGGACCGTAATGGTACCGAACCGTTTACAGTGTTTTCAAACGGGATTGATTTTCTTCATCACCAACCGAAACTGAACCGATACCAAATGGGACGAGACCGTAATACAAATATTTAAAACCGATTATCACGGAACGAACCGTCCAACGCTATATACAGAGTATGTATCTCAAATAATTATGGAGTATTTGTCTACTTCATCTTACCGTGTATAGAGTACTTCGTATTTTAATATTCGTTTTTAAACTCTCTCATTATTATTATTGTTATTATATTTATTATTACTACTGACATTATTTTTTTATAGTTATTAGTATTCCGATATTATATGAATTGGAAAAAAAATATTTTTTAACTTTAGATTCGTTATCTTTTATTCTTTATGTTTATGATCCGTTTAAATTTGAAATCAGTATTTTTATTTAACATTCTTGTGCTTTTTTTATATAAATTTATACATTAAATTCAATATTTATTAAGTAATGTATGTTCATTTTTTTGGCACGGTTTGAGCATGGATATGGTATTGTACCGTTCCATTTCAAAACGGAATGGTACCGAATGGTTTTAGAGTATCCCACCTAGACCCGATCACGGGCCGGGTATCCGGCCCGCTCGCAAAAACCCGCCCGCAAAATAGCGGGATTGGGCTTGACATTTTAGGTACGGGGCGGGCTTGGGCCTTATAAATGGTGGCCCGAATATTTTAGGGCCGGACTCGGGTTTATGCTCAAGCCCACGGGCCGGACTCGGGTTTATGCTCAAGCCCACGGCCCGGCCCGAATAAATTAAAATATTTATTATTAATATAATTATAATAAAATAACAATAACAACATTAATAATAATAATAATAATAATAAAGAACAAACCTATTTCAAATTATTATAAACACACATACATACTTCTATGGAGAGAAAAAATAAGCTATAAGTTTATATAATAAAATGAATACATCTTTACTACTCCGTATTGTTTGCAACGTATTAGACATTGATTATGACATTCCAATAGATAATATTTTGTACTCCATACATAGTAGCAATATCAAACAAAATATATTTATATATTAATTTTTCTTTCATTACTCATAATAGTTTTTACGGAGTATATCAAATATATTAACTTGTTACTTTATTATTTTTTTAAAAAAATTATTTTTAAATTATTTAGAAGTTTTTGTCGGTCGGGCCGGGCCAGCCCGAAGCCCGCGTGTAACCATGCGGGCCAGGCTCGGGCTTCAATTGGTAGGCCCATTATACGGGCCGGGCCAGGCTCAGGCCTAAAAAATTCTGGTAAGATAGTACGCAGAACTTGGTAGGTTTCGGGCCAGGCCCGGCCCGAAACCCTGCCCGGCCCATAACTAAGGGTTTAAATAATAGGGGTGCCTGGTAGGTTTCGGCAGTATGAAGAACCTGCCCACCCGCCGGGCCAGGCTCAGGCCTAAAAAATTCTGGTAAGATAGTACGCAGAACTTGGTAGGTTTCGGGCCAGGCCCGGCCCGAAACCCTGCCCGGCCCATAACTAAGGGTTTAAATAATAGGGGTGCCTGGTAGGTTTCGGCAGTATGAAGAACCTGCCCACCCCTAATTGAAATCGTAGATCTCCAGAGCCTCTCCATCTTCTTCTTCTTCTTCCGTCGTCTCATTCAATTCAATGGCGGGCTGGCTTTTTGCTCTTGCTATTATGGCGCGAGATGGTACGCAAAGCATTCTCTCTCTCTTTATATTTTTTTTCCTTCAATAATCGTATATTTGAGTAAAACGGAACCCTAAATGAGTTTTTATGCGTGTGGTGGAGGTGGAGGTGGCTGGGGACCTAACATTTGAATGCGATGATTATAATCCATTCTAATTCGAGGTGGCGAATTAGAACCCCCGATTTTATTAAAGGATCATTGAACCCTAGCCTTAGGGTTAAATAGACATCGGAGATGATACCAAATGATTGCACATGATACAAAACATATACACAAAAATACTGACTAAGATTCATAAGAGTTGAATTTTAATGATTAAACCCCCTGATTCAATTTCCATTTTTTATTTTTATTTTCTGAGATAAAATGTTGTACTCCGTAATTAGATTGAATTGAACAGAGGCCTCATTGATGTTTGTAGAGATGTCTAAGAGTGAAGCTGCATCCCAAGTTTATGCTAAACGTTGTCCTTATGTTCAAGCTCGTGCTTATTATGCTCAAGCTCAGGCTGCTATTCAAGGTAAAAACTGCTCAATCTGGGGTATTGTTTTGTTTAGCAGTTAGTGTTCAATATGTATTCAGAACAAAAGAAAGGGATGGTTTGAGTCTTGATTATTATTCAAATAAAAAGTGGACTGCGGTCTTGTTTAGTCTTCAACGTCTATTGGTGCATATATTCTTGATAATCTTGAAAAAGATGATCAAGTATTTAATGGCATATAAGACTGGAATAGGAAGGTGTTGTGTACATTCCATCCCGGTCAGTCGGTCACAACATGATAATTGCGCTGAATAGTTGATTGTCATCTGATTTTGCTAACGTATTGAATCGTCCCTAGTAGTTTACTGATTTTAGAAAATGCAAGTTTTTCTCATCGTTTGTGTTTATTTCCATGCTAGCTGATTTTCTTATCTAGTTGAGTTCATTGATACTGAATCTCTTCTATCATAAAGCAATATTAGCACCAACCAATGGATACAATTGTTTAAACATCACTTTATATCCATGTGCCGTCCCTCTGCTCAGCTATGCGTACTAAAACTCAAGGGAAATACCGATCCCCGGTTGCTGCTCCAACCTCACTCCCCTGCCAGTCTTGATGATGCTTGCCGGTCTCATGTCAAGTCCTTTTTGGAGGTATGCTTTCTCTCTTCTTTTTCAAAGCTAGTGGATATTTTCCAACTTTCCAGCCTCTATTTGGATATCGTTGGTAAACATAAACCTTTGAAACCTTAGCTTTTCATGGGCCAATCAGAGGCGCGTTGCATAGGTAGACATTTGTGTCCATTTAGTACGTCTTGGGTCAGGGTAAGGGTATATCTTGTGAGTCACAAGGCTCTCACCTCTTTGCACCTCCCGATTTGAAATGGGACTTTATGTAATATTCTGTAGGCCCACACCCCACGCGTCTTGGCTTCTAGCCCTATAATATGATGACCAATTAGATGTTCCTTTTTAGTTAATAATCAATGGTTGGTGTCAAACTAAAAATCTTGTTGAGATAAACTCTAGATGTATTATGTTAAATTTTTCAAATGAGTCCATGTACTCAAAATGGCAAAAAAACAAAAATCTCTAACTATATATACGGAGTATGTATGTGTGTGTGTGTATGTATGTATGTGTGTATGTATGTATGTATGTATGTGTGTATGTGTGTGTGTGTGTATGTGTCTGTGTGTCTGTGTGTCTGTGTCTGTGTCTGTGTCTGTGTCTGTG